AGATGCTCTGGTGGAAGTAGCGGCCACGGCCCGGCAACCCAATGGTCCTGGAAGAATCCCCCAAAACCCACGGAAGGGGCACGTCCGTGTAGAAGCGGAGACCTGTAGGGGCAGAGACATGTCGGAGAGGGCCATTGATGTTGCAGGCGCCCTTACGCTTAGAATCTTGGGTCAGAGAGTAGATAATCAGGATAGTAGGATGGTCGGGAAGCCGCGTCTCGGACCGCATGAAGGTTGAGCGAGCAGTAGTGGACGCTTATGCAGAGAAGTCATAGAAGGCGAGCAGGAAGATGCTGCGAGGAGGGCAGACATGTACTTGGAAGACGAGCCAGAGTTCAGTGCCGCTCAGAGCCGCTGCAGGATGGGCAGCACGATGGGGGAGCCTGCGATCAGAAGAGTGAAGAATACAGGTATGGATGCCTTTGATTAGGAGTCCGATTGACGGCTCAGCGCAGCTACTCGGCCGGCTGCATCTGATAGAATCAGAAGATTAGGTAGAGAGATGAAGCATGACCGCCGAAGCGACCCTGGGAGCATAGGTACGAGGCCAGCGCGGCGCGGCATACTAGTCGGGCAGCATCCATTAGAAACAGGATAAGCTTCTGAGAGAGTGGGTTGCAGCAGTAGCGGTAGCAGCAGCGGCAGCAGCAGTACCTCAGATAATAACGCGATAACCTGTATCAAGCCGCGGCAGCAGCAGCAGCAGCAGCAGCAGCAGCATCCTTAGAGATTACACTAATAATCCTGTATCAAGCCACAGCAGTAGAATGTTGTCGTAGCTGATCAGTGTTTCAGTAAAAGAGATGCAAGTGAAGAGAGATGGCAAGTAAATGAAGCAGCAGTAGTAGCGCAGTAGCAGTATGGAGCAGCAGCAGCAGCAGTAGTAGCCGTATGAAGCAGCAGCAGCAGTAGCAGCAGCAGCAGCTGCAGCGTCCGTAGATAATAACAGCAATGATCCTGTATCAAAGCCACGGCAGTAGAATGTTGTTGTAGCTGTTCAGTGTGAGGGATTTCAACAGGTTTTTTACGGTCCAAATGATTTAACAGGTTTTACGGTCCAAGTGAGGGATTAACTGAGCCCGCAGTCCAAGTGAGGAGTTTAAACTATTTTTTTTTTTTTTTTTTTTTTTTAATTTTATTCATTTATTTATTTATTTATGTTTATTTATATTTATTTATATGTATTTATTTATTCATTTATTTATTTTTAAAATATAGCGTTCCAGACATAGGCAGTACCATATATGCAGTTCCATGTACTGCATAACAGTTCCAGGTATAACCGTACCATATGAGCAGTTCCAATATAGCGGTTCCATATATAAGCAGTTCCATATGAAGCAGTTCCAGATACGGTACAACAGTTCCAGATATAAGTAGTTCCAGATATAAGCATTTCCAGCTATAAGCATTTCCAGATATAAGCATTTCCAGATATAGGCATTTCCAGATATAAGCAGTTCCGTGAGGGATTAACCTGAGAGCTCACAGACCAAATGTAAGGGATTCATTTTGGGAGCCGCAGTCCGAGAGAGATTTAAACAGCGCTTGCAGTCCAAAGAGAGGGATTTAAACAGAGCTCGTAGTCCAGGGAGGGATTTAAACAGAGCCTGCAGGCCAAAGTGAGGGATTAAAACTGAGAGCATGCGGTCCAATGTGAGGGATTTAAACAGCGCTTGCAGTCCAGAGAGGGATTTAAACAGAGCCTGCAGGCCAAAGTGAGGGATTAAAACTGAGAGCATGCGGTCCAATGAGAGGGATTAAAACTGAGGTCTTGCAGTCCAATGTGAGGGATTAAACGGAGCTTGCAGTCAGAGTGAAGATTGTTATGGAAATTCTATTGCCTCAAATGAATGAAACCGAGAGGAAACAAACTTGTCCTTTGGTGCAGTTTATTCACAGAAGTGATGAGTACAAAAATGACATTTCTGCGCAGAAAGGAGTCAAACAGAAGCGGCACCTGGAGCGATGCCGTGTCTGTCTGTCCCCCCAACAAGCATGTCTTATGATCTTATACTGGAGGTGTGTCAGACAGAACAATGCACATTCGTCACAAGAGAGATGAGTCATACGCAGCTGCAGACGGGAAAGTTTGGGAGAGATACATTAAGCGCAGAAAAGGACCTTCGAATTTGATAAGAAGGAACACGCTGTAAGAACATTTGAGATAGGCCCATGCAGGTGGTGGCGAAGGTTATGGGAAAGAGCACCGTGGACAAGCAGCCTTTGTATTAATGTTTCAAATAGTGATGGGAAGCGGGTTTCAGACGCTGGGAAACAAGACGCATGTATCGACCTAAATGATTAGAATATCTTGTGCCGGGAATCTGGCCATAACAATCCACCCTTTGATTATCTTAAATCAATCACACACATGCTATTAAGTACTAAAAATATAAGTAAAATATAAGTAAAATATAAGTAAAATATAAGTAAAATATAAGTAAATAAAATATATCAAGTAAAATATAAGTAAAATATAAGTAAAATATAAGTAAAATATAAGTAAAATATAAGTAAATAAAAATATATCAAGTAAAATATAAGTAAAATATAAGAAACCCCGGAACATCAAAACTTTCACACCTAGTAGGTTTAAGAAAATCCGTCATAAAAATGGGTTAGACATACAAACCAATTTACTCAAAATCATCAAGTAACATCTCACTAAATGGATCACTGTCCTCATCAAGACAGTCAACATGCAGGTTAAGAGAAGTGTGTTGAACGAGTGTCGACGAGATCATACGTCGGATCAATGAACGGATCAAAGGAATGACACAACATGACAGCACTATTAGCAGTACTAATATTACTCCAAGTCCAGTACCTATTTGAACCAACCACGCTCGCCAGTCTGAAAACCATGAAGCATCTAGAACAAAATCACGGTTAACCGCATCGCGCAAGGTGGTTAGATTTCGAATACCCTGTGCAATGATCCCATCATCGGCACTGTTATCAGGAATATAAGTACAACAAGCGGTCTGATTAAGTAAAAAACAACACCCTCCACTTGAGGCAACCAAATGATCCAAAACAATCCTGTTTTGTAAAGCAACGGCACGCAACGCATTTACTTCTACTCTGTTGGCCTCTAGAATAGTTACAGTTGAATTCACAAAACTTGAAAACCGATAATTCAAGGTTTCCATTCTAAGCATAACTTTCCCTATACCGACCTGGGGAACAAGGAGAGAAGTACTTTTGTTGGCTTGGTCCACAGTTTGTGATCATCTGGAACGTCCGTCCCCCAAACTGCATCATGAGCAGCAAAATCGCGCTTACCTCGCAATCTAGGAATGGTAGAGATGATGTAAGAGTGATCTGAAGCTATCATCAGAGCACAACGACCTATCCAATTAAATGGTAGCTTCACATAGACATTGAAGCCACACAGCCACAAAACACCCTTCAGAGGATTAGTTCCTGTTGAGTCAGGAACCGTGAAGTATGGAGCACATGTACTACCCGGAGCGGCCTGAGAAGTGTTTAAACTTGAATTACCATGAAAAGAAGTACACGGGTTAGACACATTTAAACAAAATGACATAGGGATCCGTCCCATCTGTATAGGAGAATCTGTAATGGTCATGGATAGAGTGTAACATACAAATTTAGTACCAGGTCTGATATGTACCGGGCCAAAAATTGGATCTAATTCATCATTAAACCAATAATTGAAGAAATCAGAACTAACAGCCGGTTTGAGTGGGGGGAGACATTTACCTGTACGCTTTGTGACGGTCTCATTGAAATAACCAACAGAGACAGATGAATACAGAATCTTTGGAAAATGTGTAAATGCATCGACCATTGGTAGAGGTGTGATGTGTGGGTTTGATGATGCAATAGGCATATGAGTACAAATGTAACAATTTGAGCGATTTTGTGACTCTGCTAAGAATTTTGCATATTGATACCACAAATTAAGTGTGTATACACTGGTGTGATTCATTGACTGAGCCAAAACACGTGACCACGCAAAATCCATTTCGGCCACATCTTCCCTCTTCACACGTTTTGATGTAAATGAAGAGGTGTTAGAAGTGTAATTGACAACGACCTGTGTTTGATTGTTCTTTTTATTCTCCCGACCTTCAAACCATAACAGTGGAAACACAATGAGGAAGGAAATGAACATGAGCACACACAAAGTCTTTCTCATCCCGCAAAGGCCCTGCTGCCTGAATGGATGCCAGGGACCGTGCTCCCGGCCGTGGCGCATCATGGACTTGGATTGTCACTTGTTGATCTTCTTGTGTTACCTATCTTCTGCTCATCTATGACTAGGAGTGTAGTTACCAGCACTTTTCTCCTGGATGCAGCTAACATTGTATTTCTAACATGTTTTACGTTGGGAGGGGGAAGTGTGTGTGGGACCCGCTTTCGGTTGGGAGGGGGGTAAGATCCTCTTATGCTTCCCCCCCCCCCCCCCCCCAGTTGTACGCTCCGCAAGAAGAGCTGGACTTGTTTGCAGTGCGATGCGGGGACCCAGGTCTGCCTCTCCTGGACTTTCAAGCGGTTGTGAGTGACGAGGAGAACTATGGAATGGGCCATAGCCAGCGATGGTGATTCCAGCTCTTTGGCTTTGAAGGTCCCTTATCAGGACGAAGTCGCCGGTGTTGCGATGTGCCACGGGATGGGGATGGTCCGCACGCTGGGGAAGAGGCCGATGACACCTGTTTTTGATATCAGAAAGCGGACTTTGTTAGGGTTTACAATACCTGACGATAACTTTCTGTTTTTGATAGATCTGCGCGTGTGTGTGTGCGTGGGTGTGTGTGCGCGTGTGTGTGTGCGTGGGTGTGTGCGCGCGTGTGTAACTCCTGGTCCATAGGTTTATTAGCCCTCTCTGCACGGATGGGAGAGCAGTGAGAGGACTGTCAGGACTATCAGCCCTGTGGGGGTCACGGGGGGGTCGTACAGCTGTGGGCGGGGCGGGGGGTCGCACCTCGCGCCTCTGGCTCCGTGCGTCAGTGTGTTGCTGCAGACTTAAGATGAACTCTCTACTGAAGTGGGCCGTGGGGCTCCTGGTGCTCTTCTCCGTGCTCCTGAACCTCGCTCTGATCGTGGGATACTCCCGCAGGACACCCACGTGCGCGACCCGCAGCGTGCACGCGCCCAAGGGCAAACATGAGGCGCGCAGCCGCGTGTTCGCGGACCTGAGCCGGGACGAGTACGCGCAGGTCCAGGACTACATGCTGCGGCAGAAGGAGCTCAACATCTCCACGCGCCAGAGCACGAGACCTGACGAGAACTTTCTGTTTTTGATAGATCTGCGCGTGCCCGCGAAGTCTGAGGTCTTAGCGCACCTTGACGCGCACGGCCCTGCTCCGCGCAGAGAGGCCACAGTGGTGGTGTTCCACGGCTCCACAGGCTTCATTAAAGAGTATGTGGTGGGACCCCTGCCCAAGCCCTCCGACCACCGCGACGTGACGGCCCAAGACTACAAGGCAGAGCTGCCGCTCAGCGCGCGCCCCGTCACCATTGGAGAGTATATCCTCATCTTCAAGCTCCTGGAGCAGAGGGTCTTCTTGCCTCTGGCCAAAGTCCTCCATGAGAGTTTCGGCGCAGATCACAAACATCGGCTCAATGCGTTTGAACAGATGCCGCGCGGAGTGCGCTCCGGAGAGCGCAAGACCTGGATCTCGTTCTTCCGTGACCAGAGCGGGATGTACATCCAGCCCGCGGGCTTCGAGGTGCTGCTGAACCACCTGAGCACTGACCCCTCCCAGTGGAGCGTGGAGCGCCTCCTGTACAACGGCCAGTACTTCGAGTCCGTGAACGCGCTGCTGGACGCGTACCGCGCGGGCTCCGTACAGAAGTTGTCTGCGTCTCCGTGGGAGGACTACGGCTCCCTGAAGCCCCGCAGCAGACCCCTGCAGGTGGGCCCGCAGCTCGTGAGCCCCGAGGGCCCGCGCTACAGTGTCAGTCACAACCATGTGCTGTACATGGACTGGAGCTTCGCCTTTGGCCTGAGCTCGCTCACGGGCATGCGCGTGTTCGACGTGCGCTTCAAAGACGAGCGCGTGCTGTACGAGCTGAGCGTGCAGGAGGCCATGTCCGTGTACGGCTCCGTGACCCCGGGGATGGGCATGACTAAGTTCCTGGACTCCAGCATCGGCATCGGCCGCTTCGCACACGAGCTGGTGCGCGGCGTGGACTGTCCGTACGAGGCCACGTACGTGGACACGTACAGGTACATAGACGTGGCAGAGGCGGGTCGCTACCGGAACTCCATCTGCGTCTTTGAGCTGTCTCTGGGCCAGCCGCTGCGCAGACACTTCGCAGACTTCTTCAGCCACAGTTACGGCGGGATGGTGAACAGCGCCTTGGTCTTCAGGACCATCACTGCCATCGGGAACTACGACTACATGTGGGACTTCATCTTCTACCAGAGTGGGGCCGTGGAGGCCAAGGTGCACGCCACAGGATACATCTCCTCCTCCTTCCTCGTGGCCGGAAGTCTCAAACACGGACACCAGGTGGCGCACAACGTGCTGGGCAACATTCACACGCACTTCATCAACTTCAAGGTCGATTTGGATGTGGCAGGTGAGGTCTACACTTTGTCTGCTCTATGTCTCTGCTCTATGTCTCAGCTCTATGTCTCATATGTCTCAGCTCTACGTCTCAGCTCTATGTCTCAGCTCTATGTCTCATATGTCTCAGCTCTATGTCTCAGCTCTATGTCTCATATGTCTCAGCTCTACGTCTCATATGTCTCAGCTCTATGTCTCATATGTCTCAGCTCTATGTCTCATATGTCTCAGCTCTATGTCTTATATGTCTCAGCTCTACGTCTCATATGTCTCAGCTCTACGTCTCATATGTCTCAGCTCTATGTCTCATATGTCTCAGCTCTATGTCTCATATGTCTCAGCTCTACGTCTCATATGTCTCAGCTCTATGTCTCATATGTCTCAGCTCTATGTCTCATATGTCTCAGCTCTATGTCTTATATGTCTCAGCTCTATGTCTCATATGTCTCAGCTCTACGTCTCATATGTCTCAGCTCTATGTCTCATATGTCTCAGCTCTATGTCTCATATGTCTCAGCTCTACGTCTCATATGTCTCAGCTCTATGTCTCATATGTCTCAGCTCTATGTCTCATATGTCTCAGCTCTATGTCTTATATGTCTCAGCTCTACGTCTCATATGTCTCAGCTCTATGTCTCATATGTCGCAGCTCTATGTTCTTCAGTCAGAGCTGTATCAAACTGTTGTGGTGAAGAGGGAGCAGCGTCTGCAGTGAGAGCTCCCAATTCCCTCATTTCTGGTCATGGTCTTTGGGTAATGAGCGACACGACGAGATCAGTTTACTTTTGAATGCGCTGGAAAACGGCTGCAAGTCCTAAGTAGCTCTGAAACAGTTGTTTTGTGCTTTACAATTTTTATTAGGCCCCAACTGGGGTAAGGGCCTATTGCTTTCCCAACGAGTAATGACTGGGCGAATCTGTGACCATCTGTGACCTGCACCGCGAGACGCTGCTCCCCAAATCCTGCTGTAGTCCCAGTGAAAGGAATGGGGTCCTATGGAGGGGGTGGGTGACCCCATGATGCTGATAATCCAATGGTTGCGTTCGTCCGCTTGTTTGCTTTAAAACGGCGTATATTTGGTATATTTTTTTCTTGCTTTTTTTCTGCCTGAGATGTTGCTGCAGTTCAGTGTTCATGGTTTTTCACTGGTCCAGACCAGAGCAGAGAGGATTCATGGTTTGACACTGGTCCAGACCAGAGCAGAGAGGATTCATGGTTTGACACTGGTCCAGACCAGAGCAGAGAGGATTCATGGTTTGACACTGGTCCAGACCAGAGCAGAGAGGATTCATGGTTTTACACTGGTCCAGACCAGAGCAGAGAGGATTCATGGTTTTACACTGGTCCAGACATACAGCTCAAACATAGAAAATCAAATAAAAAGAGGCTCCCGTGGTTTAATAAATCTCTCTGGGACACAATGAAACATAGAGATAAAGCTCTCAAGGTTTCATTAAAAAGTAAACTAACCACTGATCATTACATCTATAAATCTATGAGAAATAAAGTTACCATGCTGCTTCGAAAAGCAAAAGCAAATTTTTTCTTGACTTAATCAAAGAGGCAAAAGGTAATTGTAAAAATCTGTGGAGGAGCATGGATAAACTATTGGGAAGGAAAAAAATATATCCGGAGCACTTACAGCTCAAAATTAATGGAATAGTTCAAAATGAGGGCTCTATTCTGGCTAAACATTTCAATGATTATTTCTTGGATTCTGTGGTAGACCTGGCAGAGGCTTTTTCTGAAGTAAACTGCTGCAGAGATGATCTTGGGGATGGAAATGCCCTCTGCAACCTACAGTCTCGCTGTAGGTTGCAGAGTATAGAGGAAGACAATATTTCCAAAATAATAGCAAATTTAAAAAATAGTAAAGCAAAGGATATTTTTGGACTTGATACATTTCTTTTAAAAGAACACAAAATGATTCTAACTCCAGTACTAACAATAGCTGTGAATCAGTCTATAAATGAATTCAATTTGGAGAGACGAGAAACTGGAAGTTGAGTATTTTATGAAAGGAGGTTTGGCGCCCTAGGTCCCGGTGCGGCCTTCGGATCGGAAAGGCTCTTGCGATGAGCGCGCACAATCCCCAAAAAGGCTGCGTGTTGATGGAGTTTTCGAAGCCTGGTTTGGAGGGGACAGACGTCGTGACTACTCTATTCTGTGACCGCTATCGCTAAGCTGTGACCGCTATCGCTATGCTGTGACCGCTATCGCTATGCTGTGACCGCTATCGCTATATGCTGTGACCGCTATCGCTATATACTGTGACCGCTATCGCTATATACTGTGACCGCTATCGCTATATGCTGTGACCGCTATCGCTATGCTGTGACCGCCAGCGCAATGCTGCTAACCATTTTTTGCTATATGCTGTGACCGCTATCGCTATATGCTGTGACCGCTATCGCTATATGCTGTGACCGCTATCGCTATATGCTGTGACCGCTATCGCTATATGCTGTGACCGCTATCGCTATATGCTGTGACCGCTATCGCTATATGCTGTGACCGCTATCGCTATATGCTGTGACCGCTATCTACTGTGATCAATACTTGCGGATACTCGGCTGCTGGCGGCGCCTATCCGGAAGGAGTGAGCTGCGTAGAGATGGGGAGACAGGTTACAAAGCAGCAGTACGGACTTTAGTTGGGCTCTGAACCCGTTGGATGACGTTGGGAGGTGATCGGGGGTGAGAAATAACGGTCCGTTGAGATCTCCTTTCCGAGAGCGGAGGCGAGTGTAATGCATCGTGGGTTATTTTTGCGCGCTGGGAACGTGAGCGTTCGCATCACGTTCCGTCAGACGCTGCGGCAGCGGAGAGTGTTTGAGAAGTGCGTGCCGCCACCAGAATCTTATTGCTTCACTTACTTTGCTTCGTATTGCTTTGCTGGGAGCTGGCGAGGAAGCCAGTAGGCGTTGTGCAGCCAGGATGGTGGACGCGTCTGGGCTGATGTAGGCGGAGAAAGCCGAAGAGGACCAGCACCCCAGCTGTTGGAGAGGTGGGGGAGCCCAAGCGAGGCCGCGCGCGTGGCAGCGCCTATCCTGAAGGAGTGGGCTGTATAGAGCTGGGGAGACAAATTGCAGAGGAGCAGTAGGGATCTTAGTTGAGCTCTGAACCAGGTTGCTGTCATGGGAAGGTTGTCTGGAGAGAGATGTGTCGGAGCGAGCTATTATTATGTTGCAGGCGCCTTGGTCTTTGAATGTTTGAGATGAAGGTTGAAAGGGTCAGGGGACATTATGTTGGGTGAAAAAGAGCGACCTTTGTGTGATGCTTCCACTACGTCGAGATTATCGCGCATGACAGAGATCCTCTTTCTCTGCCACGTGTGATTCCACGGCGCGCAGGCCACGACCACTGGGAATATCTCGTGTAGGGCAGAGGAGATGCTCTGATGGAAGTAGCGGCCACGGCCCGGCAACCCAATGGTCCTGGAAGAATCCCCCAAAACCCACGGAAGGGGCACGTCCGTGTAGAAGCGGAGACCTGTAGGGGCAGAGACATGTCGGAGAGGGCCATTGATGTTGCAGGCGCCCTTACGCTTAGAATCTTGGGTCGGAGAGTAGATAATCAGGATAGTAGGATGGTCGGGAAGCCGCGTCTCGGACCGCATGAAGGTTGAGCGAGCAGTAGTGAACGCTTATGCAGAGAAGCCATAGAAGGCGAGCAGGAAGATGCTGCGAGGAGGGCAGACATGTACTTGGAAGACGAGCCAGAGTTCAGTGCCGCTCAGAGCCGCTGCAGGATGGGCAGCACGATGGGGGAGCCTGCGATCAGAAGAGTGAAGAATACAGGTATGGATGCCTTTGATTAGGAGTCCGATTGACGGCTCAGCGCAGCGACTCGGCCAGCTGCATCTGATAGAATCAGAAGATTAGGTAGAGAGATGAAGCATGACCGCCGAAGCGACCCTGGGAGCATGGGTACGAGGCCAGCGCGGCGCGGCATACTAGCCGGGCAGCATCCATTAGAAACAGGATAAGCTTCTGAGAGAGTGGGTTGCAGCAGTAGCGGTAGCAGCAGCGGCAGCAGCAGTACCTCAGATAATGACGCGATAACCTGTATCAAGCCGCGGCAGCAGCAGCAGCAGCAGTAGCAGCATCCTTAGAGATTACAGTAATAATCCTGTATCAAGCCACAGCAGTAGAATGTTGTCGTAGCTGATCAGTGTTTCAGTAAAAGAGATGCAAGTGAAGAGAGATGGCAAGTAAATGAAGCAGCAGTAGTAGCGCAGTAGCAGTATGGAGCAGCAGCAGCAGCAGTAGTAGCCGTATGAAGCAGCAGCAGCAGTAGCAGCAGCAGCAGCTGCAGCGTCCGTAGATAATAACAGCAATGATCCTGTATCAAAGCCACGGCAGTAGAATGTTGTTGTAGCTGTTCAGTGTGAGGGATTTCAACGGGATTTTTTTACGGTCCAAGTGAGGGATTAACTGAGCCCGCAGTCCAAGTGAGGAATTTAAACTTTTTTTTTTTTTTTTTTTTTTTTTTTTTTTTCATTTATTTATTTATTTATATTTATTTATTTATGTTTATTTATATTTATTTATATGTATTTATTTATTCATTTATTTATTTTTAAAATATAGCGTTCCAGATATAGGCAGTACCATATATGCAGTTCCATGTACTGCATAACAGTTCCAGGTATAACCGTACCATATGAGCAGTTCCAATATAGCGGTTCCATATGAAGCAGTTCCAGATACGGTACAACAGTTCCAGATATAAGTAGTTCCAGATATAAGCATTTCCAGCTATAAGCATTTCCAGATATAAGCATTTCCAGATATAGGCATTTCCAGATATAAGCAGTTCCGTGAGGGATTAACCTGAGAGCTCACAGACCAATGTAAGGGATTCATTTTGGGAGCCGCAGTCCGAGAGAGATTTAAACAGCGCTTGCAGTCCAAAGAGAGGGATTTAAACAGAGCTCGTAGTCCAGGGAGGGATTTATACAGAGCCTGCAGGCCAAAGTGAGGGATTAAAACTGAGAGCATGCGGTCCAATGTGAGGGATTTAAACAGCGCTTGCAGTCCAGAGAGGGATTTAAACAGAGCCTGCAGGCCAAAGTGAGGGATTAAAACTGAGAGCATGCGGTCCAATGAGAGGGATTAAAACTGAGGTCTTGCAGTCCAATGTGAGGGATTAAACGGAGCTTGCAGTCAGAGTGAAGATTTAACGGAGCTTGGTTAAAGAGAGCCTGCAGACCAATGCGAGGGCTTTAAACTGAAGCCTGCCCATCAGCACGGGGCCAACTGAGCCTGCAGTACAAAGCGAGGGGAATAAACCGTCCGCGGATCTCATACTTACCCACAGCGCCAGAAGACAAGGGACAACACGACGGGACCACACCGTACCGGCACAAGGAGGCAGGGATGCGCACGGCTCCCACCGCACCGGGCTAGACCGGCCGTATGCAGCAGCAGACCGCGACGAGACAAGCAGCGGCAAACCCGCGGAAAGAGCCCGCAAAGGAGGAGAGCGGCAAAGACCCACGGACCACAGCACGAGACCCGCAGCAGGTGCAGCCACAGGAGGAGCAGACCACACGCAGCAAGACAGAGGACAGCAGGGACACGCACGAGTAAGCGTGAGTAGACAAAAGCGATTCCTCCAGAACGATTCTTTGCGAGGCTTCAGGAGGCCGGTAGTGGGAGTTGCTCCGTTTTTATGCGGCTGCGAGTCGGTACAGATGATTGGAAGGGGGCGT